TTCCTTTCCACATTTGCCTATCAAACGAACATTTTAGTTGAAAATGAGGATATTTTCAAATTTTGGTATATAACTTTTAACTTTATATACTTTCAATCATTTTTAATTGGTCAAAGACTCAAAAGGCCATAATGGTTGAGTCATGTCCTTGTATTTCCTTAGCGCTTGTCTAGATGGGATTCTTTCTTTTGGAGAATTGATTTTTGATAAAATCAATATGGCCCACCATTACGGAAGGGTGCAATTTCATGCAGTAAAAATGTAACGGATTCACCATTATGCCCCCCTGTTAATGAAAATTTATTTTGAAGTCAACAACATGGTGGCCCACCATTTCAAGAGTTCCATTTTCATGAATTTTGACTATAATATATTCATCACATTTTGCTCATTTGTGTACGTTTGTGCCATAAAATTGATTAATCACTTAGCCACGTTCATTTATAATTGCCTTACTAGGCAAAACATTTTGTAAAAGTTGTGTACTCATTGTGTTAAACAGTCATATGCACGGTAATTGAGATAATGTAGGCACAAAAAAATAGTGGTACTTTGTAAATCGATTTTGACAACTTTTTTTTTCCATTATCAACTTTCCAAAAACAACAAACAGTGCAAACAAAGACCGTTATGTCATCAACGACGTAATTCCAACTTTGCTTTGTTCAAATAAGCACCAGTTATCATTGTTGTTGTGCCAAATAATTGCGAAAACGATCCTACTCATTTCGTGGCATTTTCGGTGCGTTTATTTCGGCTGCGATTTCTTCATGTTCTTCCGAAAGATCCACCTCTGCAGCATCGGGATCTGTCTCCACTCTCGTAAAGGCTTCGTCGACCATGCCAGCCCGTCGAAGAAAGTTATGAACACCCATAGTTGCTATTACAACAGCAGTCGGCAAAGTTCTCGTGCTGATATTTTTTTTTCTTCTTCTCTTTTTTGTTCTTGTTAACCTTTCTATGTTATCGCCATTATGCAGACCGAAAAGATCCATGCTCGCATAGCCATTCCCATTGTATAGGCCTCGTCATTGGAGCCGCTTCTCTCGTCATGAAGTGGTACTTCATCGCGGTGGTCTTCATATCCACTTTCTTCGAACATTGCAAAACCAGTTTTGTACAGCTTTGCCGGTGTGATTGCGTACTTCACGCTATCAAATACGTCCCCAAACAAAGCTTTGTAACTATTAACCTCTCTGCAGTCTTTGTCTTTGAATTATTTGTAATCTTTGTTCTCTTGCGACAGAGGGTATGAAAAAAGTAATCACAACGTCATACATATGGTAGTTTTTTTCCTCAAACAGACGGCATGACAACATCAAACCTATTGCAATTTCACAAACCATATGTTGCAGTTCTTTACTAGACAAAAGTAGATAGTCATTGCATATAAAATTAATCGGTATCCAAAGAAATTTCAGTGACATCCCTACTAGTCGATTACATAAAGATAGAACTATAGTTGGAGTCTATGTTTATCCATACAATGCCCACATCTAAGATCAATGTAAACACTACGTAAACCTATATTGAGGATCACATACATGCACAAAGCATCAAAACACAATTTGTAGAGCGAGATAATAGTTGACAATGAATTCAATTTGTCAGAAATTGAAACGATTGTACCTTGATCTTTCGACCCATAGCTCATCGGACTCTACAATTCTGCCCGTAACAGGGTTGTATTCTATACCGGTGCAATTAAGTAATTCCACCAATCTTTTGTGTTTCAGACGAAGAGCACCCCAACGATTTTTAAGCTACTGCTTGGTCCAAGTATGGCCGGTGTTCAAATTGAACAAGTGAATAATTGTTTCCCAACCGTGTTTCGTGAAGCACTTCCCGTTCGGTGACCTTTTGCGATGACTGACTCGCATGGCGTAATGAAAACCTTGTTCTTGAATGAGTTCCATTGAGCATTCTTTCGGGAAGGTATTTGGGTCTTTGCAAGAGCTGGGCTGAAGGTGCCTGCTTGCGGAGCGTAACCAGTCTACGGCAACACAACGGAAATATAAAAGAACCTCAACCTCATAGTCATATTTGTGTGCAATGTGTGCGTGTTTGAACATTGACCGGTGAGAAACAACCATTAGGAAGAAATATTTTTTTGAAGCAGAGGACTCATTTCATTGAATGAATATTACTAGAAGTATATTTTACATATATACGAATGACATGTTATACACCTACCGGAAAGGAGAATGGATCCATGTGCGCGGACGACTAATGAAGCACAAGTGATATTGAAAGTTCACTATCAGTTTAACTGCAAGTTGAACTTGGTCAACATCTATAGTTCGACTAGAGGGGGAGTGTAGAAAACGTCCAAGTATGGAAGAGAATCATTGATAGATATTATGAATAATTAGGAAACTTGTATTTTAGGATAATTGGCAGTTTATTTGTTTTCCTTATTAGGCAGGATATTTTTTCCTTTTCTTCTTCCAGTCTTGTATTATAAATTGGTTGTATTATTATTGAAATAGAGATGAACTTTGAGTCCAACCGTTTCTACAAAGATTCTAGGGATAGAGGTGCATGTTTTGTGGCTTTCAAGGGAGATGATATTGAAAGTTCACTATCAGTGAAGATGCATGGGAAATCAGCAAAGGCAATATCCATCCAGGCGCTGTTGGCAAACAAATTTCTGATCTTAGACTCTGTTGGTGATCTACAGCTTTTGTGCCGCTCTTATTCTGTTTATGGATTGGCAACTTTTTGTCACATGAAACAGTTAACTCAGACAATGAAAGTTATAAAGCTGGTGGTTCTTCATGATTTTCCTTCAGGTATGCTTGCTTCATTTCTCTTGGAAGCCTTAAATCTGAATTAGATCGTGCTTAGTATCTTTAATTAATTGACACGAACTTTTGTTGAAGTTCTGATGGCTGTAAATAGGCAGTAACCTCAAATAGTGCGACCATATACTTTCTCCATCCTTTTTGCATCCGATTTTAGCTTCAGAAGAAAATATGAAAGTCTGATAATGGCATCACAAACTGCAACTGAAATACCTATTGCCATCAATATGCAGTCGAACAAACTGTTTGGATGTCAGATGGACATCATACTGTACATCGGATGGTAATATCTGGAATAGATACTTCTGTTGATGAAACAAAAAGCAAAGACAGCAGGGTAAAGCTCATCCAAACCTCAGGTTCCAATTTCTTGACATCCACTGCTGAATTGATTCACTTTCTTGGCCTTCATGTGAGTTTTAATCAACATTATGGGAAAGTGGTATGTTTAGGTTAAAACATTACTGCGTGTTTCTAACCAAAATGGTCAGATGACGAAGCTGCAAAACGATTGTTCTGAACTTCAAATGCCACACATTCTGACTTCGGCAAATGCCTGCTGATTTAGTTTGTTTCTAGTATTTGGATCAACTGAACTTGCACATGTAGATATAATATGCATTCGAAGACTTAGTCCTCCTCCATATTATTTTGCTCAACATTTACTTCTGAAAGAGTTCACTGCAATACATTTATACATTTTTTTTTTCTCTTAATAAATCAGCATTTGTTTCCAAATAGGTGGAATTTTAATGCCTGCATATAGCTGAAACTGGAGTTTACGATCCTGATATATGATGGATATATTTCTTGTATAATTTAGCTAAAACTATTCTTTAGTTCTGCACAACCCATTGATGGTTGTAACTACTAAAAATTAATCTGGACCTGAATGTTATATGTACTCATACATTTTAACTAATGTTTTTGCTAGTTACACAAGCAATTTTTACCAGTGAAAAAATCGATGAAACGGTGCCTTTGGCTGCTAATGCAATGTTGATTCTTGGACAAGGTACGATGTTAATAAGTTACCATATTTTTATATGATACGATGGTTGTGAACTAGTATTGAATTTTCACACTGCTAGTTTTTCTTTATGTCAATGTGAGTTGATTACATCTATTGTCTATTTTTGTTTAGAGGAAGGAAAATATTTCTTTCTTATTTTGATGCGGACATCACGATTTATGTCGTTGTTGATTTTTATTAATTACATTTTTATTATTATTGGGTTTATATTATTGAGTTGGCCCAAGCTCGTCACTAGTAGGTTAGGTTTTTTGTTTACTATTATGCTTTTTCCATTGTAATTGCGATAGTTGATGAATGAAATGGCTTTGCTTGGAGCAAACGTTTTCTTCCTATCCCTTTCCCCCTAAATTTCCGTTTCTTCTCTGGCTTATTCCCCCTTTCTCTCTGGTTTCTCCCTCCCTTCCTTCTTGCTTCCTTCTCTTTATCCTACATCAAATTTGGTATTAAAGCCAAAACTTGATTTCTTGGTTTAAATTGCTTCCTCGTTGCTTTTCTAACCTGTGAAGATGAACAGAGGATTTATACTCCACATCAACAAAGCAGTAGCCAATATGTGTCATCCAAAAGCCGGGTAACATACTAAAGTCACAATCACCAGCCTGTCACGACCCGCTCGATTCATAACAAAGATAGCGAAATTATCTAGAACAACAGCATCTTGAGGCGAATCCAGA